CGACACGGTTAGGATGAGAGGCCGAAGTCAGGCGGGTCTGTCTGGCAGGCACATCGCAAGGCCCGTTGGCGTAGCGTGAGTACATCCAGCACGGATAGAATACTACCGCTACTGACTATCGTTTCCAGAGAAAAGAATGTCCGCCAATGTATTGGTTTGTCAAATTATCCAAAACTAGGCTCTAAAACTAGACTTTTGGCGAGAAACAATGCAAATATAAATGTATAGACTTGCATGTTTGAGCAACGCTTCTGAGAGCAAATGCCACGCCGTTTCAATAATTCCGGTTCTAACAGGGTACTTTTTGCACCAAAATACAGCCGTGTGCCATTATATTAAAAATGTCCAGCTTGGGGCGTCTAGCGGATAGGGCCGCCCCCATCCGAATTCGTCTTATTTTTCCAGATCTGTTGAAAATTTAGTCAAATTGATGCGCTTCTGCAATCTCGACCAACATTTATTTTTTTGGGTGAATGAGGAACGTAGAACATGAATATCAGTCCAGTAAATGAACACCTTCAACATAAAAATTCTAATATGTACAAACATTTGGACTTAGATTACTGATTTCTTGGCCTACTGGACATTTCCAGATCCTTCGGTGGTCAGGGACTGACAAATTTTCGAAACAATTTTGGATTTTTGTTTTTTGTGTTAGTGTCCTTTAAATATTAGGTATAGATAGAAAAAAGTACTCAAGACAATTGAGAGCTGGAAGTACCTATAAGTTATGAAAGATGTATCCATAACCATAAGGTTGCAGTACCCCCCCTTCCAAACTTTGTGCTTCGGGCGCCCCAGATCCTAGACCCGCCACTGTGTACGACATTCAAACAAAGAGTTGGGATCCTCTAGATTCGCGAAATTTCTATGGATTTCAAGTACTAAATTCTACTTAGATAAAATCCCCTTATCAATACCAATGTATCATTAATCGAATAACGGTTTATTCCATATGATTATTAATTATTTTATCGTCCTTCGAAATACAATATATACAAACTCAACTGATTCATATTTGTTTTTGTTATTTGTTTTGCTACGATATCGAACGACGGCGAGTCGAAACTGCGGGAGCGGCAGTATCTGTACGAGACAGTGTTGCCAGATTTCAAACGAGTTTTCCTGAATCCAGATTGCAGGAGCTGCCCTTTGGTGATTCGATTCCATGGTTTCTATTCCGGACAACGAATAACATTTCCTCATTAAACATATATCTAATATTAAAAAACACTGAATGGCAACTAAGCATAAATTCCACAATCGTCTAGAAAATTATAATTCTGGATGACGTTCAATAAATAGAAAGGTTCACCTCAGATCGTTGACACAAACTGCTAAAACGATTTCAGGATTCTGCTATATCTATTCTTCCTGAAAATATATTAAGCATTTGGAATTATATAAAAAAAATTTACTTGGATCGTTAATATGATTATTATTTAGATATTCATCAAAGTGTGGGACGAAAAAGCGAAATGAAAAACATAAGAGAATGTTAAGCATCATTTATCATATTAGACTAAGTTTAAGAAAAAAAGCTTACAAAACATGTGATAATTCTTGGGATCACATTTATCCAAGGAAATTCAATCTGTGTCGATATTTGCAACAGCTTTTTGTTACTATGTTATCTAAGAATTGTTTTTTTTAGATTGATTTATGAGAAGTGAATACATTATAGTCACGAGTCATAAATGGAATCCAACTAAAAATGGATCAGGATGACTTTCTTTTGGTATGTCGCAGGGTCGAGAGAAGAGATCTCTACTTTAGCATAAAAATATGTATATTTTCTAATACAAAAAGCTTTTTCACTGTTAATTCCAAGGGTGGAATCAGAGTGGGGGCGCTCTCGCTTTGCTATACGCCCAAAGCTGCCGTTTTCCCAATAAAATGGAGCAAATTGGTGTATCTTGGTGTCAAAAGTACCTTACTAGAGTCACATTGAGGCTTTCTTGGAAACAATGGATGTCTCCTTGGAAACAAGTGAAACTATGACGATTTCTTGAGGAACGTTCAAGGGGGATATAAATTTTCATTTCGCAGTAGGCTGTAAGAGTTATCACTAGCTGTCATCGACGTCAGAAATACAGGGTGTCCGCAAAGTTGGGGTTTTCCTTTACACGACGTGTAGATCTTGAAAACATAAGCAATTTTTCTTAGTACCATATACACCAATGTCTTAAGGAAACCGAGATAAAGGGCTCTGCAACATCAAAAATATATGAATACCGTCCTGTAGCCGCGACCCGCGACATCACCTAGTGGTAAAAGGTCATTGGCTCAACCCGACGACAGAACTGGGTCGGGGTCAGTGTGTCAGGTCAGTATGCAACCTTCAACTGACGGTTACGGTCACGCGAGTAGAGGTAAACGAACCCGCAGTCCGTCGGGCACATTTTCAACAAACGTTTTCGGTGAATGTTTGGGCTGGCGTGGTGAACGGTATGCTCATTGGACCATTTATTCTCCCAAATCGATTGGACGGGATGCAATACCTAGACTTTTTACGCAACATTTTGCCTTCCTTGTTAGAAGATGTGCCATTAAGTGTAAGACAATCAATGTGGTTTCTGCACGATGGTGCACCGCCCCATTTTAGACGCGAAGTGCGGGAGTTTTTGAATGAATTATTTCCGAATAGGTGGATCGGACGTAATGGACCCGTAGCGTGGCCCCCGCGATCTCCAGACTTAACACCATGTGATTTTTTTCTTTGGGGAGAAATGAAACGCTTAGTGTACAAAACTGAAGTGCATACGGTTGACGAACTTCGTCTCAGAATTGAACAAGCTGGTGCTTTCATTCGGGGGAGGGACTCCATTCTCAAAGCCTGCACCGATGCTTGGCTACGTCGTGCACGCACCTGTGTTTCTGAATCAAACGGCGATAACTTCGAACAATACCTATAAAGTACGTTTACCTAAAAACTGAAAACGCGGCAACGCCGTCATATTTGTTACCTCTGTTCGTGGTCTGCACCACCGCCTGCGTCTGCTCGGTAGCGCATCAGCTGATTCATTTTCTGTTGGAGCGGTATGATTTCGGGCAGAGACGTACTTAGCCCTTCTCGTCAACTGGAGAGTGAGTACTTTTTCCTTTATTTTTTTTTACTTGGTGGCCCGCGTTTCACTACACATTACCTTTGTTATTTCAAGGGTAGTTGTTTCTGAAAAGGACAATCCCAACTTTGCGGACACCCTGTATTTTTCTTTGCTGGCAGTAGTGTTTGGTTTATTTGTTCTAAATATCAACGAACAATGCACAATAATAATGTGTTTGCTTCCTCGAATTACAGCGCAATCACAGAGAAGTGAAATAGCGAATATAGGCAATTAGTTGCACCGAACTGCTCTGCTGGTTGCAAATTATAGATGACGTATGTCAGATTCTACTTCACAAAAAAGACATTCTACACTCCAATTTTATGTTATTATAAATTATAATATGTGAATATGAAAAAAAAAAAGAATTTTAGTGAGGAGGAGATGCATTCGATTGAGATATTGCACAGATTTAAAGGGCTAATTGAAAATAAAAACAGATAGCAGCAGTATAGCAGCTCGGTGCGCCTGGTTGCCTATACTCAGTTTCTTACTTCTCTGTGATTGCGCTGTAGTTCGAGGAAGCAGACATATTATTATGTTTATGTTATTATTCTTTATTGAAATTTAAGCACAATTACACCAAACAGTCCCAATGTTGTCATCAAAATGCTAAATAGATACGGCCAGCAAAGGAAAATATTTCTGACATCGATGACAGCTGTTACAAATGAAAATGAAATGAAATGAAAATTTAAACCCTCTCTTGAACGTTCCTCAAAATCCGTTGTTTCCAAGGAAGTCTCAAGCCAAGACATGCGCCCACCCCCCTCCAGACGTATTACTCCCCACCCTTCACTTATCACAAGGGCATTCGCCCTTAGGATAAGTCGTTACGAACATCTGAACATAAATCCTGAGACCATCATGCACTGCGTCGCCCTTAGCATGATTTCTGGATCTGCTCTTGATTTCACAATTCAAATCTTCCAGGTCTGATTAAAATTTCATACCTCCTAAAGATGCTCATCATCTGATTGTTAGATCAAAAAGGAACCACACAGCTCCTCAGCACAAGACAGTTCAATGTGTTCGAGAGAGAAGCGGGAGAGGTGTGTATCAACGCATGTTTGAAAGAGACAGATGCTGGCTATTTTATAGTACGCACTTGTCCTCGCGTCTCCCATTGTTACAACTCTTTGTTCTAGAAGTCCTAGTCATACAATAAATCGACGAAAATCTGACAACTACGCGTGGCGTTCAGCCTGTTTTTTTCCAACAACACGCCACCGCCGCGCAGCCTATAAATACCGACGACCGATCGGTTGCCGCAGAATTTCGTAATTGGGCGAGCGAGTTGCAGGTGCGAGTTAGAAGCGTTCAAGGCAATCGTAGTTCTCTAGAATAAACGTCATCCGTGACAGTGAAAATTACTTCGAGTGAAACCAGTGAGAAAATCATGTCCACCGACACAGCAGCCGACCAGTACGATAGATACAACTACGAGTACGACAAGTACATCTTTTCCGGACACAGTGGAAAACAAAGGAGTAAGAAAGAAGCCGAGGAGCATACCAACCACTTCGACCCCTCAGGACATTCCAGAAAACTTCTGACCAAAATGATGAACACCGAGAAAAACAAGAAGGGGCATTCGTCGACGTCACCAGTCCGAACAGCGAGGAAGTCCGAGAGTGAAAATTGAGTGCGTTTGAGGTTTGAGTGGGCGACATAACGGACTTCTATGGACAATTTTTGTACTGCGAACTGTGATTTTTCATGAAAATGAGCTGCAAAAACCCAGTCTAGCGGCCATGTTCTATCGCGTAAAGGCCGGAATAAAGGATTGTGTTCATTGAATTGCATTTCTTTATTGTATGTGTGGTTGGCTTGTGTTTTGATAATTTATTATTCATGATTTACAGAATATTTTTGTAATGTTGAGTATGTTTATTAAAGTGTTTCACTTTACTAATGTGTTTTATTTATAGAATTTGTGGGACTGATAAGCTCGAACAAAGCGTTTGTATTTGTTTACTAATCGCCAATCACCTTCAGATTCCATTCAAGCATCTTTGTTCAAGCGGAAATAACCTTGGGCCGTTAGGTGTGTTTATTTTCTATAAGTTGAACGGCATCGCTATCCAAGGTGTCCTGATTTATTGTATTCTTTGTCCAAAATTTATTCACTTTACAATATTTTAACTTGGCAATTTTGTATGAGCCCATGATCGTAACACTTTCTACTTCAAATGCGAAAGTATGTATGTATATGTTCCGTTTTCACAGCAAAACTGCTGAACCATTTAAATTAATAACAGAGGCGGATCTAGAAATATTTTGGAGGAGTGCCCATCTGATGAACTTGAAATTTTATTTGCGGGGTGGGGAGTGGATTGGTGACTCAGGATTGGTGACCAGGAAGATTTAAAAATAAACCAAATTCTTTTATCTCGGTTATTATCCGTTGAGTTAGGGATACAGATATTTTTTATGTTTTGTATGTGTGATATAATGTAAGTGGGCAGGTATAATGCAATTTTGGCAATTATACCACTAAGGGGCGAAATGAGATCGGGTAAGAGGGGTTAAATATTTCTACCGGTACCTTATCACTTTTATAGTTAAACAGAATTAAAAAATTTAATTATCAGTAACCGAATTTTCTCATTAATAACCTTTCCTCTATCCATTTTGAAAACCTTAACTACCCAAAACTATTTTAAACGTATTCTGACAGCTGTGATTAATAAAAGCAATTGTCATGGCTTTTATTTTTCACAGCCACCTTGAGTTATAGACTTATTTTGCATTGAAATGAAAATAGGTTGATATGCTGTAATTGCAACATGTGTTATTTGTATGCTGCAAATTTGATTAGGGAGTGATACAGTTGGTGTTTTCTACTATATATTATCAAAATATTCATTGTTAATATTTTAAACGTATAACATCCTGCTAAATTTTTATTATTTGTGTTTGATAAGAAAAAAACTAAGATTTCAATAGTCGAGCCAACTGAAGTGGGAAGGGGCTGGTAATTTATGGACAGGAAATGCCAACTGAGAACAGATTTTACGCCAGGGTTGTATTAAGGGGAACAAGGGCAGATATAATTATGTAAAACCGAAAAGATCCAGACATCAGTCACACAATCTCGAAAACTATTTCATCCATGAACATGGGATTTGGCAGAATCGTATCTAGCTTATACGAACAGGTCAGCTCAAAATAGATTAAAAAGTCCCGTTATCAACTGAACTTTTTTGTATAACGTTTAGAAGAAACTTGATTTTTATCAACCTGAAATTTCTTAAGATTTAAAAAGAAAACATAACCTCACAATAGGAGAGCGCTGACGCTGACACGGAATAGTAGAAATTTAGAAATACGCCAATCTTTCTGAAAGAGAGAAAAGACCATAAAGGTCATAAAGGCGTGCTACAATCTTATTGTAGGAACAACTGACGATTGAAGGGTAGAAAATGCGTTTTTCCAAAGTTCGCGGTTAATTTTCTAGTAGTGAACAACTGAATGATTTTTTTGTATTGTCATTCATATAGTATTGCTGCATCATCAGCAAAATTGACTATTTTACCCACATAGTTAATTTAGAACTTATCATTCAATTAGATTGTACGTGCTATCATACATAAATACTTATCAAATTGCAAAATTGGCATACTGCATGATTCACTTACTTTCCAATTTCTGCACAGGGTGGACCATCTGCACAAATGGCTCCTTTATCCATCACGTGCAGTGTGGAAGCAGATGGTGGTAGAGGCTTGGTCGGATTCGGAGGTACCAATACCCCCTGAGTCTTCTTCGAGAATACATTCGTCGTAAAAGCTAACACTAAAATTACTATCACTATCACTAGTATCACTGGGGCTATTATGTATTTTCTTCTTGCTCTTGGCCTGTAACAAAGAGAAAAAGGCGTCAAATAGATTGACTCTAATTATCTTTGGTTTATTTTAAAATTTCATGCCATGGGTGCACGCTGAGGAGGGCGAGCGTGGGGCGGGCATGCGCTCCCCTGAGAATGTGGACCTTAAAATTTGCATATTTAGCATGACTTGTGTACAGTTTCGGAGGTTTTAAGGATTTGCCCTCCTTAGAAAACTTTGCACCCCCCGCTCTTCCAGAAAATTTTGGGACAGGTACACTTTCACAAAAAGTTATGTCTTACCGATCATCGGCCCTTCTAAGAAAAATTCCTGCAGGCGCTCATGTTTGATGTCATATGAACCCTTACCGAAGCAATTGATATATATATATATATATATATATATATATATATGTATATACAGGGTGTCCCAGAAGTCGACGTCAAGCCGAAACCGGGTGATAGGCAAAGTCATAACAGCTATCAGAAAAATATTTAAAAAAATTTTATGTATGTGTTTTGAAAATTATAGGTCTTTGAAAAAATATAGAAATTTCACACCCTACGGCAGTCTGTCAACTCCTGTTACTACAAATATTAACTTTTTTTGGATTTTATTTTTACAATGTAATGATGAATAATGCATCTTCAAACTGGTGCCTCAACCTTACTGTCAACTTTTCTCGTTCAGGAAAAATTGCCACTTATTTCCCAACCAAGTATTCCAAGGTAAAACTTTGCTCAACTTTAACTGGCTGTACTAAAAAAAATGTACTACGAGGATTACTCGTTAACTTATGCACAATTTTTATTTGAAGAAAAACTGATGAAATTTTTTCAAAATTTCCCAATTAAACATCGATTATGAAAACGCACAAGGACCCTTAAGGATAACTGTTTGCACAACAGTGGGCGTCAAAATGCTGCTGATGATGATTTACCTTTACAGCAAATGCTCAAACTGTTTTCCTTCAGCCGCAATACACGCTCGACATCTTCTTAAAAAAGATCGGGTTATTAAACGAGCGAATCCACGGTTATTAACAAACTCAGCTGCTTCCAATAGTCTTTGCCGTAGCTCAGCTATATTTTGGATCGGCTTGAAATACACTTTTTCTTTTACAGTTCCTCAGTAACAAAAATCTAACGCATTTAAATCTGGTGACCGGGCTGGCCACGGTATTGTACCAGACCGCCCTATCCATCTGCCTGGAAAGTTTTGTGCGCTGGGCAGCCATCATGCTGATACCACATGTCCCTGTAAAAACTCAGTGGCACGTCCTCGAATAAATTTTCTAAATGATTTTGCAAAAAACCTAAATAAACCTCAGCAGTCAAAGTCTCTGGGAACTCAAACGGACCGATTATTTTACCATTTAAAATTCTTGTCCAATGGTTTATCTTGAAGCGATATTGAGATTTATCTTCTCTCATCAAATGTGGGTTTGCTACGTGCCACTCGTGTAAGTTATGCAGGTTCATGTACCCATCTTTCTTAAATGTGGCCTCATCTGACCATAACATTTTTTCAAAGAACCGTGGATCTTGCCTGTGTCTTTCTAACATTGTGCGACAAAAAGCAACTCGGGGCACATAATACCGGGGCAGAAGAGCTTGAACACGCTGTACGTGGTATGGATGGTTACTTTTAAGGTTACCTGCCAAACTCTCGTAGTACATTTTTTTCCAGTACAGCCAGTTAAAGTTGAGCAAAGTTTTACTTTGGAATACTTGGTTGGGAAATAAATGGCAATTTTTCCTGAACGAGAAAAGTTGGCAGTAAGGTTGAGACACCAGTTTGAAGATGCATTATTCATCATTACATTGTAAAAATAAAATCCAAAAAAATTTAATATTTGTAGTAACAGGAGTTGACAGACTGCCGTAGGGTGTGAAATTTCTATATCTTTTTCAAAGACCTATAATTTTCAAAACACATACATACATTTTTTTTAAATATTTTTCTGATAGCTGTTATGACTTTGCCTATCACCCGGTTTCGGCTTGACGTCGACTTCTGGGACACCCTGTATATATATATATATATATGTAACGTGGAGTAGTAGGTGCTAAAAGTGTGAGAATGTATCCCCTCCCACAAGAAAAGTGAACTACGCTCATCTATAACAAGTACATTTTTGAAAAATACAAACAACCCTACTGCAGTAATTGAAAAGAATGATGCTCTCAAGAGAAATCTAGAAACATCGCTTATGTCAAAATTGACTAAGCGATTTAAGCTGTAGCCAGAGAAATAAGAACTTCAAAGTTGTTTTTTATTAAAATTCGCTATTTCGTTTTAACACGTCATGTAATATTCAAGAAGCATAATGATTTTTCACAATTGAGGGGACCAATGCTAGAACCAGTGAAGTCCATTTTTTATAATTTTACAGGAGAGCAAACAAATTTCTAGACTTGACTTGTTTTTACAACATTTGAGAAAGCAGAAAACCAAATAAATTGCTAGTTTTACATGTCTCGTTTTTATACAGCCCGATAGATAATTTTAAACTAAATCCACCTAAAAAATGGACTTGGCCGGTTCTAGCATTGGAGCCTTAAATTACAATACGTAACGTAACTGAGGTGTAAGCCTGCCTTCTTATGCAAACTTCCTGTGGTTAAAGAATTCGTTTCTTCGCATGACCCTTTCACTCTACTTAAGGCCCAGATAAGGCCTAGCCTTGAGCATTTATGCTCGATGCTGCTGCAGAGGAGGGCTGTCCGACTGATCGACGAATGTTCTCTAACAGAGAGTCTTGGAACCCTTTCTTACCGGCGGACCTGCGATCTAGCTCTCTTCTACCGCCACAACAACGGCTTTGCTCCTCATAGCTCTCTTCCATGATACCGCCGCGCGATTTGCCTGCCAGACAGACCCGCCTGACTTTGGCCTCCCATCCTAACCGTGTCGAAGTTCGTACATCCAGAACTGATCGATAAGACCGCTCCTTCATCCGTAGGGTATCGAGCAGTAGCCGCGGCGCCCTGGCATTTAGGCTCCTGCCACGTCTTTTTTTTTCAGCAAGACAACGCACGCCCCATATTGCCCGTCGTACCCCTGACTTTTTTCAAGAAGCAGGCGTTAATCTATTACCGTGGCCTCCCCGTTCACCGGATTTAAATCCCGTCGAACATGTGTGGTATATGATGGGGAGTAGACTATCCACTTTGCACCATCCGCCACAGACTCCGCCTCACCTAATTTACGAAGTTCGAGTTGCTTGGAATGAGGTGGCATAACCAGGCATCGATCATCTCATTTTCTCGATCGTTAGACGTATGCAGGAGTGTATTCAGCTGTGCGGTCGCCCAACACGTTATTAATTTTTTTTCTTATTGCTTGTCAACAAAATCTCGTGAGAATGTTATCGTTTCATTCTTGATGTAAGACTACCTCATTGCCAAAAAATCAAGCTGAATAAATCATTTCTTCTGGGTGTAACACTAATGTCACTGACTATATTTTCTTATCTTCTGTTCCCACGTATGATTTAAACATTGCAATCATGATTTTTGGGTACATTTGATTACCCTTAGTTTGGTATTTGGATATCAAATAGACAATATATTGTGACAAATAGCGCCATCCGTTGGGCTGGTCTCCTACTCGCCAGAGCTTAATGGCCGATCTGTGCTTTTACACGACCGTACAAGCCGCCTGGCGGCGTCTGTGAGAATCGTGACAGTGGGTCGCCTTCTAGATCGACGCGAAGTGATCTCCAACATTCTAGATGTCGCTTTGTGGTCTTTCTCGAAGCAGCAATTGGGACTATATATAACTCGGCGGCCGGTAGATGGATCAGCGCACTGAATACGGTAGAGTAGCAGAGCGGAGTGAAATAGTGCAGTCAATGGTGACATAAGAATTAGTCAGACATAAATAGTGGTGTATATAAATGTTTTATCAAGTTAGTGCATTTCTTTTTGTGGAATCGAGTGTTTTTCACACCCAAAAGAACCCAGAAAAACGCTACAATATAAATGAGCACAACTAAATTTAAAAAAGACTTTTAGCCGCATTTCAATATATACGTATTCCTGACACGGCTATAAATTGGTCTGTGTCCCTTCTGTTAGAATTTTCGTTAGCCTGTCACAAATCCATTGGTTTTACATATTTCACTCCTTTTTCGTATTCCTCCCTATACGATGAATTGTTGTCTCTGATATTTTGGTGAGTTCATTGATTATTTCGTTATTGTTCTATCCAGTCGTTTTAAAAACATGCATATACCGTTAATTTGTTAACACTGAATGTGGAGGTCTTTGTTGTTCAATTCTGAACAATCTTTTGTATGGTCGTTCCAGATCGTCTATAACTTACCTTGACGGAAATCGTCTCCAAAACGCCATTTATCATGCTATGTTTTTAACAACTGCTCCGATGACGACATTCTCAATACTTACTCCATACGTTAGCGCACCACTAATTCCAATGTTGATAATAATAATCGACCAGGTAAGTACATCGAATGTGGAAGCCTAATGAGAGTAATGAGGCTTCAAAATACCTGTTTTATTTATTTATTTACTTATACACCACCAATAGATATACCAATTACTATTGGGAAACTAAGTTATGTAATAGTAATAATAAATTGCTTTTATTGCTCATCTAAGTACAACAAAATACATCATAATTCATTAGTTGCCAATTGCGCTCTACTACCTAACCACAAAAAGAAAAGTTAATATACTAAGTGACATATAAATCCGAACACCCTGTTTAAATGGTTTTATTTTAATAAAATTTTGTATAAGTACTTAATGAAGCATAATAAGTAAATGATAAAAATTTCAAAATGATTGCACTGCTTTAAAGCCCTTTGACCTTTAATAATGTGTGGATCCACCCTGATGTGCTACGCATTCTCCAACGCGCCTAGGCATGCTTCTGATCAGGTGCTCAATGTCCTCCTGTGGTATCTCATTCCAGGCAACCACCAACTCCTCTCGAAGTGCTTCTAGAGTCTGAGGAGGACGTTGCAAATTGAGCAATCTCCTACCCATCATATCCCACACGTG